CCCGGGCCTCGGGGGAGCGCGCCGCGCGCTCCCGCCGCTGGCGCCGCCCCGCGTCCTCCGGGTCCTCCGCTTCCTCCGCCTCCGAGCCCTCCAGCGGGGACGCCGCGCCCGGGCCTCGACCCGCGGCATCTAGAGGAAAAGAGGGCGGTGACTAGAAGCCAGAAAGACCCGCGCCCCAGCCTCCTGCTGTGTTGCCCAGAGGGCGCTGCACTCCTCTCAGCCCCCAACTTCGCGCTCCTCCCCCTACCGCGCGTCCTCAAAAGCGCCTCCCCGGAATTGGGATTTAGGGGTGCGATACCCCGTCTCCACATCTGCCACTTAGTCAAACCAAAAAAACCAAACTCATTGCCCTGGAGTCGGATCCGATTCATAGCGACCCCTCCTTGGGTTTCTGAGGCGGTCTCTCTACGGAGGTGGATGGCCCAATCTTCCTTCCAAGGAGTAGCTGATAGGTTTGAACCGCCAGCTTTCTGGTTAGCAGTCAAATGCCTTAGGCACTAGGCCACTAGGAGGGGTAGGGTTATTGTGCATTAAGACACCAAGTGCGTTTAGGGGCGTGTCTCCCAAAATCCCTAGAAGCTTACTTGGGTCTGGCCTTCCCAGCAATTAAAGAAGTTATTAAGTACCCCCCTGAAAGCGCAATTCCCCCTTCCCATCTTCTCTGCCCTGCCGTGTTAATAGAGTTTCAGATTTGTGCGGAGACGGATCGATAGATGTCATCTATTAAAGGTAAGTTTTAATCGAACAATATTAGGATCAGACAGGGAAAGGGGGTTTGAAGCCGGGGCCTGCAAGCTGCGGGGCAGGAGATATGCGGGCACCAGTAATAGACTATCGATCACCGGCTGGGAGGGGAAGAGCGAGACCCCTCGGAATGGCGAGAGGAGCAATTACAGGCCGGCAGCCCCCGGCCCAGGTGCGGCTGCAGAGACGCCCCGGGGCCCCAGACAATCATCGCCCACCTTGAGAAGGGGCGCGGGGACCGCGCGGGATCCAGCCTCCCGGGGGGCGCCTGCACCCTGACCTTCGGCGCCCCTCGCGGAACCTCACGGGTCCTGGTAGCTTCAGGTCTTCCTTTCAGCCACAAACTGCCCGGGACCCCTCACCAGGCACCCGCCAGAATTAGGAGGAAGTAAAAAAAAAAGTTTCGAAGAGAAAGAACCTAGAGCCTCCCATCATTCCTCCCCCGCCCCTAGCCCCAATCAACGTTTGGGTCTCGGGCGAGTGAGCGCGCGGGGCGGCTGAGTCTCGGCCGGTGGCTGGAACTGGGCACCAGGTGAGGAATCTTGAGCTCGCTACTCACCACGTCCGGAGCACAGGACTCAGGCGGGCCCCGACTCTCCCAGCCGTGAAATGGGGATGCTGTTCGGCTGCGGTCTACCTCACAGGTGTTTCTTATCCCGGCTCCTAGCCAAGCCCAGGCAAGTGGAGGGCGCCTTGCACGCCCGGTGAATCAATGAACCTGGGCAGGATGCCCACACGGCGAACTCTGAGCTGTGGGCCTGGCCCGCTCGGCGGGTAAGCAGGACCGGGGCTTGGTGGCTGTCTCGGCCCCGGGGGCCTGGGAGCCTCTGTCCGCCTCCATCCCGCTCTGGGGCCGAGGCTGCGTGTTGCGCTTCGCCCAGGCTTCCTTACCTCTTTGCAGAAGCCGCTGCTCAGCGCTACTCGCCGGGTCTCTGGCCACCCTACCCCCCGCCGCGCGCATCCTGGGGCCGGGGCCCCTACATTCTTACCAGGGGTCTCCCGGTGCCGGGCCGGGTCCTCGGGGCTGGCGTCCTTTCCCGCTTCGTCCTCCGCCAAACTTTTCTTGGCTTCCCGCGGCGGGGGGCGCACCGCCGGGAGGGCAGAGCGGGTGAATTTCTGCGGATCCAGGATGTCCAGGACCGAGAAGGAGATCTTGTGGGAAGAGGGAGCCGCCTTGGCCCCGCCATCCTGCCAGGCCAGCATGCCCGCCGCCCGCGGGCCGGAGCCCGCACTCGGGCTCGCCGTCCGGCTGGGGCTCGGCTGCAGCTCTCCGGCGGGGAGGAGGGTCTGGGTAGCCAAGTGGAGCTGGGGGGTAGGGGGCAGGAGGGGGCGGAGAGATCCGCTGGGGGCTGCGCTCCGATTGGCACTTGCGCCCCCGAGGCCCCCGCCACGTGCAGGGCGGGCTCGCGGCCGCCCCAAGACTGCCGGACGCCAGGCGGGGACCGGTCACCTAGCGGAGGGGGCGCTCGGTGCCCCCTGTGCGCGCGCCCGCGGGGACAGCGCCGCCGGCTCCGCGCGCCTCCGCCCGACCTGAGGGGACTCGAGGTGTAAGCGAGGTGAGAGGGAGAATCGGAGGCTTCCACTTGGCACTGCTCAGACTGGGGTTTGCGCCCCATCTTCGGTGCAGCGCCTTTGGTTTCGGGATGTGATTGAAGCCAGGAATGCTCACGTCTCCAAGACCATGTTCAGCGCACCTCCTGCCCCGCCAGTGAACCACGACGCAAGTGATGGTCTCAGGCCCAGCCACCTGCATTGACAGCCCGCGTTCTCACAGTTGTGGGTTTGTTATGCCCTCGTGCTTACAGAATCTCATGGATCAGCATCTCTGTGAGGTGCCCATGGCCTGCGTATAGCTATTAGCCCTGCTTTAAAGAGGAGGAAATTGGGGGTCGAAGAGAAATGACTTCCTCGGGGTCACTGTTACTCGGTGACATCTGGATTTGAATCCAGATCGCCTTCTCCCAGACCAATGCCCTTTTCACTACATCCTGCCGCCTCTGAACTGGAGGGAAAAAAGCCTGTCGGCGACCAGAGGCCTTCCCTTCCGTCCTGGAGCCAAGCTGGGTCAAAACAGCAGCAGAGGTTGAGGGCAGGTGCCTGAGGTCCTACGGGTGCCCCATTGCTTTGGGCACCTCGGTGGGGCAGCAGGCTCAAAGCTGAGTGACATCGGGGAGGTGGCTGCCCTGGCTTGCTGTGACACCGTGCACACCCTGGTGTCATTCCGGGCCTTCTTCACAGACTCAGGCATTTACAATTGAAATGAGGTCTTTGGGCATCAGGCACCATCTTTGTTCCCCACAACTCCCTCCAACCCCGAAAAGAAAAAGGTCAAAAGATGCTTGTTTGGTTTGTGTTTAAGTCCAGAGAACTGACAGACGGTTGAAATGGCCTCATCAGCCCCACCACATCCCTGGAACTGCAGGCACTGATGGTGGATGTAGCTTCCAGAAGCCAAGCCCAACCCTTGCCTTTCTTATTGCAATCCTTAAACACCAGGCATTTATTCCATCAGCAGTTCCTGAGGCTCTCCCAGGCCTCCGCCCAGAACCACCTCTGATTGAGCAGTCCCTTTCTTCCCTGCCCCACGGGGCTTCCCAACAGTGGCTTGGCAATTAGTATTGTCTGAGCAGGTAAGGAATAGGAAGAGGAGGAGAAGCCTTCGCATGAAAGAGCCTGGGGCTAATCCCATCTGTCACTGAAAGAGGAGGCGGGAGAGGCCAGCTCCTTGTAGCTTTTCTCATTCAAACCTCCCTGTCCCTCCCAGAGGCGGCCACAGTATTCACTGCCGACTTTAAAGCCCTGCGGAGATTCAAACCAGCCCCAGCCCTAGGGCGAAGATGGATTGCGCTTTTAAAGCCCAGGACAGGAAGTGCCCTGCCCAAGCCACTGGACCATCTCCCAGCAAAGGGACTGCCCTGGAATTAACAGTGGCTTCTAGGATCCTGGATTCCGAATCACAGGGCCTTTATGGACGACAGGGCACTTTGTTTTCTGTTTCCTCAACTCTTCATACCCATCCTCGCCTGACTTTTTTTCTTTTTTTTTTTTTTATCTTCCTTTTTCTTTTCTCTCATCTCCCTTTTCTTTTCGTACTTAGATTTTTCTGTAGAGCTAGGAGTGCATCTACTTAAATTTGCTCCTGCGTGGAATATGCGGTTTCACTTGGTCCCTCTTATCGTTTTTCTGCAAAATAACTTGAGGCTTTTTACATGGGGTGGCAGGCGGGCATTCCAGAGGCACCCCGAAACCAAACCAGAGAGGCAGGGAGGCCCAAGACAGCCAATGGCAGCCCAAATCTAGGTCATGTTGACTTCACGTTAGAAATGACCTCAGAAACATTCCTTTCAGTTACATGACTCCTCTGTCCTTTGAGGCCCACAGGTGTTTGAACAGGAAAAAAGCACATTGCTGTCCAGGCCGTTCTGACTCCTGGCAACCCCACGTGTTACAGAACGGCTCCACAGGGTTTGCTGAGCTCTGATCTTCGTGGAAGCAAACCTCCAGGGCTTTCTTCTGTGGCACTGCTGGATGGGTGGGAGCTGCCCACCTTTGGGTTAGCAGCCAAGGGCCAACTGTGCCACCCAGGGACCTTTGCATACAGGAAAGGAACTAAAAAGGAGAGAAACCACAAATTGGAAAGTCAAGAACACGTAATGCCTTCTTCAAAGCTATGAACCCTTAACAACTCCTTATTTGACAAGGACCTCTTCTCATTTTTTTTTTCTTTCCCTTTCTTTTTCCCTTCTTTCTGAAACATGTGTTAAGCGCAGCCCAAGGTCATGTGCAGCCTCACAGTCAGCACTTGGCCTCTGCAGTAGACACACAGGAGAAGCACCATGTATCTCCAAAAACGTTGCCCCATCAACGCTGGGAGAGAGCAAATGTCCTGGATTTACCTGACTTAAAGAGGAACCTCTCATCAGAAGGACAGAATAAAGTCTTAAACTTGGAGGTTCAGGGGGAGACCCTTGGCACTGTGTCCTGGCCACCTGCTTTGTAAAAGAGGCAGCAAGGCCTCTCCTTTAGGTGCAACTTGGCAATGTTTCCGACTCCTGATGCCGGCATCCTGTTACCATGCTCCTGCCTGTATTTATACCCAGGAATCCCGCCATCATAAATATATTTCCAGCAGGCCACCCTCCCTCTGTGCTTCCAGTTGATTTGTGTTCTCAGTGCAAACATTAAAATTCTGCCTGAGTACTGTCTTTAAATTGCTTTGATGCTGGGTGGGTTCCACCCCTGACCTGTCCTGATGGCAAGTGATGGCTGTAACAAGCTCGGGATCAATATTCATAGCGGGTGTCCTGGGCTGATAACACTATCCAAGACAATGTTCACTATCAGTGTGGACAGCTGAGATATTGCGCCATTAGGGGTGTTGTGTTAAATAACCTGATCCATTTCTGGGGCTATTTAATGAATTTCACAGTTTAGATATTATCTTTAAGGAGAAGGCAAAGGCCCTTCCAGAGGCACTGATGCAAATCAATGGTGCCGAGCTTCTGAGCTAGTCCCCCAACAAAGTGGCCGCTAATTCCAGCACAGCCTGGAGGAGCTGCTGCCTGGGGGCTGTGCACAGTGAGAAGCACTTGCTGTTCAGGTGTGTGGGGATGACATTGTGAGCGGTGTTAAAGCACCTTAGATAAAACTGGATGGTGAAATCAACTATAGCTTCAAGTCTCGGTAAAACCCTGCACGCTGA